GCTTTTTTCATAACGGGAAAGTCTATTCTTTTTTGTCTATCCTCAAGACAGGTTGTTGGAATTTCATTTATTTCTTTATATCCTTGTTCTGTTTTCCCCATGTTGCTCTGTTTGTATGGCTAATCAGAGTCCCTTCTAGTTTGTACATGTTGTGGCCTATAGCATGGGAAAGTGTTACCCTTATTTCTCTATCTTCCCACTACTTTTTTGGTCTTCAATGCAGAGCAGAGACATTGTTCACTCTGATTGCCTAACATTCATTGGATATTGAGAATTGTTACAGAACATAGATTCCAGATTTGTTGCAATTCACAGGAGATAGTAAATTTTGGATTGAGAAGACATATAAGCAGGGAAGTGAGAAAAGTCCAGTGAAGGAGTGACAGAGCATGACCTTGTTTTCTGATAGATTTTGGTTGGAACTCTAGTACTTACAACTGAACTTGGCACTCTGCTTTTCTGAGCATTTTTCTCCTCTGTAAAATGGGAGCAGTAATAATTACCCTAGAAGGTTGCTGTGAGGGTTGACTGAAATCACAGATGTGAAGAGCACCTGGTACGTGAGTGTGTGTTTCCTTCTCTAAGCCTCTAAATGTACATTTAGAAGTCTGCTGAACTCTTGAATGATAGTAGTTCAGACAAGGTATTTTCCCCCTCAACTTTTTTTTTGGGGGGTGGGTACAGGTTGAGACAAAATCTCACTATTTAACCCAGACTTGCCTTAACGTGCTGTGTAGCCTAGGCTGGCCTTGAACTCTTGATCCTCCTGCTTTCACTTCCCATGTGCTGGGATTATAGGCATGTAGCTTTAACTTTCTATTGAAAAATTTCCAACCTATAGAAAAGTTGAAAGAATGATACAGAAAACTCCTGTAAAATTCCCATGAAACTTCACCAAGACACGCTATTTTGCTGAATGTGCTTTCTCTCCATTTGTGTGAATATGTATATATACATATTTAAAGGATTTGTAACTTCATAAATAGCAGGATATTTCATTCTAGATTACTCATCATAAGAATAAATAAACTTGGGCTGGTGGAGTGGCTCAAGTGGTAGTGTGCCTGCCTAGCAAGCATGAGGCCCTGAGTTCAAACCCCAGTACTGCCAAAAAAAAGGAAACAGAAAGAGCAAGCACCCATAAAACTACAGTGGTAGTTCAAACTCCAGTCCCACTCAAAAAATAAATAAGGAAAGAAGTAAATAAATAAATAAACTATAGTGGCCAATGTGAAAAGTCTAAATTAAAAAAAAAAGAATAAATAAACTTTATTTCCCTACATAATCATCATCCCATTATCACCAAAGAAATTTTGTATTAAAGTAATACATAGTTTACCTAATTAAAAAAAAATCAGGGTCCAATCAAGAAGCAGATTTGATTCATTTACCTCTTTAGTTTACTTTAATCTAGAATGGTTCCCCAGTTAAAGAAATTTTTTAAAAAACTTTTTTTTACTGTAGTTTTCCCTATCCAGAAAGTACACAAACTATGTGTACAGCATGGTGATTTTTCACAAAGTAAACACACTGTGTAACAAATACCCAGATCAAGAGATCAGACTAGGGAGTGTGGTGACGTATACCTGTAACCCCAGTACTTAGATGACTGAGGCAGGAGGGAAATAGAAGATAATGTCTTAAAAAAAAAAAGAAAGAAAGAAAAGAAAAGAAAAGAAAAGAAATCACGTATTTTCCTAGCATGTGCAAGGTCCAGGGTTTTATCCCCACCATTGCAAGAAATCACACATTACCAGGACCTCAGAAACCCCCATCATATATCACTATCCTAACTCCCTAAAGTTGTCCCTATTGTGAATTAGTTTACTATGTATTAATCGTGCCTATTTTTGAAATTTATATAAAGTGTGTTTGGTTTTTGAATAATGTTTTACTCAACATTGTGAGAACCTTCCATGTTTTGAGTTCATTATCACTCATGTACAGTTATCACTGCCATGTATAGTTTTTACATTGAATGAATATAATCGACCATTTATCTTTTAGCCTTTTTATGGGGGGGATGGTATTTTGCTGTATTACTCAGGCTGGTCTTGAACTCCTAGCCTCAAGTGGACCCCCCACTTAGCCTCTACCATACCTGACTGACCATTTGTTATTGACCATTCTACTCTATTATTTTTCTTCTTTTGGCAGTGTTGGGGATTAAATGTAGGGCCTCACACATGCTAGGCAAATGCCATACCACTGAGCTACATCCCTTTCTACTCTTTTTTTTTTTTAATTATTATATTTTTGGTAGTACCAGGGGTGTGGCTGATGAAGTGGAGTGCTTAGATTTAATACTTTATTGAGTGGCAGAGTTCTTGTGGTGTAAACTTTACTGTGGATTTTTAATAGGTATGTTGTGGTCAGTTTAATGAGTTTTGGCAAATAAGTACCACAGTCAAAATCAAAATAATTCCTATATCTTTAAATGTTGCCTTATGTTCCTCCTTAGCTAATCTGACACCAGGAAATCAGAACTGCCTTTTAACACTGTAGATTATATTTGTCATTCCTAGAATTCCATAGGAATTATTTTATAGTGTATATATTCAAAAGGTTTCTCTTTTGCTCAGAATGTTTGTGAAATAGTGTGTATCTGTAACTCATTACTTCCTTATTACTGAGTAGTACTTCATTGTATGACTATATCCCAATTTATTGATCTCTTCATTAGTTGATGGACATTTGGATTATATATGTTTCCAGTTCTGCAGAGTAGTATTACTATAAATTTATCAGGTTAAAAATAACACATTTATCAATTCACAGTTCTTATACAATGGATCAACTGTAGGGACACAGCTGAGCTGAATCTCAGCAGACTGAAGTCTGTGGGGCTGTGGCCTCACTCAAAGCTCAAATGGGGAATGACCAGCTTCCTAGAGGAATTCCTAGAATTTAGTTCCTCATGTACTGTCAGTCTAGGGACCTCTGTTTGTTACTATGTGTCAGTCAGAGGCTACTCAGTTTTTTGCTGCATGGATTTTCCAGCATGGCCACTTGCCTCCTCAAAGCTGGCAGGGGAGAGTATCTTTTAGCAAAATGAACATTACATATGGGCCACACCCATATTTATGTAATTGTGTACACCCTTTCACCTTTTTCCTACACTTTTGGCCAGAGGGAAGTCATCGATTCTGCCCACACTCTCAGGAAGGGAAATAGGTACAAATACCAGGAGGAGGGGGTTGCTTGGTTCTAATTTGGGGGTACTATGAATATGCATGTATAAGTACCTATAAGTACTTATTTTCATTTTTCTTGGTAAATACCCGTGAGTGGAATTGCTGGCTTGTATGGTAAGTACGCGTTTAGCTTTATAAGAGACTAAGTGTTTTTGCAAAGTTGTACTATTTCTCTTTTTTTTTTCCTTTTTTTTTTATTTCTATGTTGTACTATTTCTCATTCCCACTGGCAGGGTCTGAAATTCCTCATTGCCATACATTTACACCAACACTTTGTTTTGATTTTAGCCATTCTAGTGAGTGTGAAGTGGATGTCACTGGTTTTCATTTGCATGTCTGTGATGACTGTAGTTGAACATTTTTTCACATGCTTCTTCTGAGGTTCATTTTCCTGTGTGGTGTCAGGTGTTTCTTTGTCATTTGTTGAAAAGATTGCCCTTTCTCCTTTAAATTATCTTGCCACAATTGTTAAAAAGCAAATAACATATATGTATGTACATATATGTTTCTGGACTCTATTTTGTCTGTCTGTATGTCTGTCCTAATACAAATAACATACTGTAGTGATTGCAATCAAAAATGTTTTAAGCTTTGGTCCTTTGTGTCTTTCTCGCTCTCTTTCTTTTTTTTTTTTTTGTTTTTTTTGGTACTGGGGTTTGAACTCAGAGTCTGTACCTTGAGCCACTCCACCAGCCCTTTTTTGTGATGGCTTTTTTTTTTTTTAGATAGGTTCTCATGAACTATTTGCCCAAGCTGGCTTTGAACCATGATCTTCCTGATCTCTGCCTCTTGAGAAGCTAGGATTACAGGCGTGAGCCACAGGCACCCAGTGTGTGTCTTTCTTCTTTCTTCCTTTTCTTTTTTTTTTGGCAGCACTGGGGTTTGAACTCAGGGCCTCATACTTGCTAGGCAGGGACTCTTACTGCTTGAACTGCTCCATCAGCCCTTGTGATGGTTATTTTTGAGATAGGGTCTTGTGAACTATTTGCCCGGGACTGGGTTGGTACCATGATCCTCATGATCTCTGCCTCCAGAGTAACTGGGATTATAGGCGTGAGCCACCTTTTTCTTTCATTCATTCATTTATTTTTGTGGTGCTGGGATCAAACCCAGGGCCTCTTGCATGCTAGGCAAGCACTGTGCTGCTGAGCCACATCTCCAGCCCTGTTTCTCCATGTAAATTTTAGAATTCTTCTCACAATTCTTATAAAAAAACAAATAAACAAACTTGCTAAAATACTGGGATTATGTAAAATCAGCAGATCAATTTGGGGAAGAGTGGTCATCTTCATATTGATTTAATTTATTAAATTAAATCAATTTAATTTAATAAATTGCTATATATCTGCATTTATTTAGATCTTAAATTTTAAGTTTTTTGGATGGTACTGGAGTTTGAAGTCACTCAAACCATACCTCCATCCCTGGTTTTTCTTAATAGTATTTTTTGGTAGCATACCGGGGATTGAACTCAGGCCTTGTGTATGCTAGGCAAGCACTCTATTGCTGAGCTACATCCTCAGCCTTTTAGTTTAGTTTTTAATTGTTCAATGCTAGTATAGAAATATAGAAATAAAATTTTGAGTTTTATGTATCGGACTTGTAGCTGCTGTATTGTTAAACTCACTTTTCATTTTGATAGCTTTTTTATAGATTCCTTATGATTTCTCTGTAGATGATCATATCATCTGCAAAATAAAAATAGTTTTGCCTTTCAATATATATAACTTCTTCCTTTTCCTCTTTCTTCTTCCTCCTCCTCTTCCTTCTCCTTCTTCTCCTTCTTTGCCTTGAACTCCTGAGCGCAAATGATCTTCCTGCTTCAAGCCTCCTGAGTAGCTGGGACTACAGGTGAGCACCGCCGTGTCTGACTCCTTTTATTTTTCTTGCTTTATTGTACTGCTGGGACTTCCAAGTTCAAAGGTGAAAAAAACAGTATGAGAATGAACATTTTTGCTCTACTTCTGATCTTGGAGGAATTCACTTAGATTTCTGTTCCTGAGTATAATGTTAGCTATAGGTTTTTTGTGGGGCTCTTTATCAAGTTAGGGAAATTCAACTTTTATTTTTCACTCGCTGAGTTGTTTTTGTTTTGTTTTAATTTTTTATTTTTTAAGAGACAGGATCTCACTCTATTGCCTGGGCTGGCCTCAAACTCCTGGGCTCAAGGAATCTTCTGTCTGAGTAGTTGAGACTGCAGGCGTGTGCTACCGTTTTTGGCCCTTTTTTAATTTTATTTTTTAAAAATCTTGTGTGTTTTGAATGTTATCCTGTGCTCTTTTGGTATCTGTTGATAGTTAATCCTTTTGTTTTCCTCCTCTGTTCTGTTACTACGATGATTTGTGTTGATTGACTTTTCAGTTGTTAAGTCAGTCCTATATTCATTGAATAAATTCCTCTTGGCATGATATACAGTATTATTCTTCTTATATACACATCTAAGAAAAGGATTTGTACATTTATGTTTGTGAGAGCTACTAAACTGTAGTTTTTGTGTGGGTATGTGTAAACTCTTCATCTGGTTTTGATGTCAAGGTAATTCTGGCTTCATAACATGAGTTGAGAAGTTTTATCTTTTTGCCTGTTCTCTGAAATAGTACAAGACTGGCATTATTTCTTCCTTAAATGTTTTAGAATTTACCATTGAAGCCATTTGCGCCTAGAGTTTTCTTTTTTAAATTTCAGTTGTTGATGTAATTTCTATTTCTACTTACACATTTAAAAAGTTAAATGTGTAAGTAAAAAAAATGGTTTATTTATTTATTTATTTATTGTGATGCTGGGGATGTAACCCAGTGTTTTGCACCTGCTAGGCTAGTGCTGTACCACTGAGGTAAACCTCTTACCCAAAAAGGAAATTTAAAAATATTTAAATATTTAATATTTATTTAGAAATTAAAGAAACTTAAATTATGCCATTAATTTAAAAATTAGACATAAGCCTATTAAGCTTTTCTATTTTACCAGGGTCAGTTTTGGTATGCTGTATCTCAAGGAATTTGTCTATATCATTTTAGTTATCAAATTTATGGTTTAGTTTTTTTTTCTTTGGTGGTACTGGAGTTTGAACTCAGGGCCTCACGCTTGCTAGGCAGGCACTCTACTGCTTGAGCCATTCCATCAGCCATGGGGTAAATTTTTAAATAATGTTTCATTTTTCTCTTTTGGGGTAGAGGGGGAGACAGGGTTTCCCTTTGTAGAGCAGGCTGGCCTCAAACTCACAAACTCAATCATCCTCCAACCTCAGCCTTCTTAGTGCTGGGATTAGAGGCATGTACCACCATACCCAGCTTTCTTATTTTTTAAAATTTATTTTTATTTTTGGAAATTTTGGGGCTTGAACTCAGGGCCTCATGCTTGCTAGGCCAGCACTCTACATTTGAACCACTCTGCCAGCTATTTTTTGTGTTGTGTATTTTCAATATAGGGTCTCTCAAACTGTTTGGCTGGGCTGGCTTTGAACCGTGATCCTCCTAATCTCTTGTCTCCTTAGTAGCTAGGATTACAGTCTTGAGCCACCGGCACCTGGCTCAGTTTTCTTACTATCTTTTATTTGTGTGTTACATATATATATGTTTCATTTAATTTCCCTTGGAGACAGGGTCTTATTATGCAGCCCAGGCTGGTCTGGAACCCATGACCCTCCCACCTCGTCCTCCCACAGTATCTGGGACTACAGGTGTGTACCACTAAACCCAACTGTGTTTTCATTTTCATTCAGCTCAGAATATTTCCTTATTTGACCCATAGGTTATTCTGTTTAATTTCCAAGCATTTGGAATTTTTCCAGATTTTTATTGATTTCTGGTTTAATCTTGTGATCAGGGTACGTAGTCTATGATTTCAAATCTTTTAAATTTGAGATTTGTTTTATGGTCTGTCTTGTGCATTTTCCTTATGCACTTGAAAATACTGCTTGTTCTGCTGTTGTTTTGCAGAGTGTTTTAGGCCATAGTAGTTGGTAGTGTTGTTCAGGTCTTCTGTATCCTTACTGATTTTTTGATTAAGGAAAGGGAAGTATTAGGGTCCAACTGTGATCTTAAATTTGCTTGTTTATCTTTTAAATTCTGTCTGATTTTACTTTTAAGTATTTTGAGTTTCTGGTATTGGGTAAATACTTAAGATTGTTATGTTGTTTGGTTGACCACTTTATTGTCTTTGAAATGTCTCTCTGCTACTTTGAAGTATGTTTTGTCTGATATTAGTATCAGTGTTTGTGTGGTGTATCTTTTGTGTCCTTTGGCTTTTGATCTATATTTGTCCTTTTGTTTAAAACAGTTTTCTTATGGATAGCATGTAACTAAGTCCTTTTTTCTCCCCAGTCTTACGCATGCCTTTTTTTTTTCTTTTGTTTAATGCGTGCCTTTTAATTGAAGTGTTTCATTTACATTTCAGGTAAATACAAACATGTCCACCATCTTGATTTTGTTTTTCTTGTTCCATCTACTCTTTGTTACCTATTTCCTTGTTGTTTTGTGGATTAGTTAAATTACTTAAAATTTCCTTTTATCCCTACTTTTGGTTTATCTACTATGGAGGTTTTGCAATTAGTAACTGGTCTCAGTTTACTTTCAGTGTTATATGAGATCACATGCAATGTAAGAACCTCGGAACAGTATGCTTTTGTTTCACTTCCTCTCATCCATTATACTGTTAGTGCCATAGATTGTACTTTTTTGTGAGACTGGGGTTTGAACTCATGGCTTCCCGCTTGCAAAGCAGGTCTCTATTGCTTGAGCCACGCCTCCAGTGCATTTTGGTCTGGTGATTTCGGAGATGAGGTCTCAGGAACTATTCGCCTGGGCTGACCTTGAACCTTGATCCTCCCAATCTCAGTGCAACTAGCTAGGATTACAGGCGTGAGCCTCAGCTCAAGATTTGCTTTAAGGAAAGCACCAACTCAATAGTACATTCTGATTATCTTTTCTTTTTTTTTTTTTTTTTGGTGGCACTGGGGTTTTAACTCAAGGTCTCACTCTTGCTGGGCAGGTGCTCTTACGATTAGAGTCACTCCACCAGCCCTTTTTTGTGTTGGGTATTTTTGAGATAGGGTCTCTTGAACTATCTGGCTTTGAACTGTGATCCTCCTGCTCTCTGTCTCCTGAGTAGCTGGGATTACAGGCGTGAGCCACCAGCACCTGGCTCTAATAATCTTTTTAAAATAAAAGATATATGTATATTTAAAATATCTTTTAAGCTGGGTGTGGTGGTTCATGCCTTCTGAGGCAGAAGAATCATGAGTTGAAGGTTAGCCTAAGGCCACCTATTGAGATCCTGTCTCAAACAAATCAAAGCAAAGAAAACTCTTATATTTATCATTTCTGGCTTTCTTCTTTTGTGTAGATTCAGGTTTCCATCTGGTACTGTGTTCCTTCTGCTGAAGGAACTTCTTTCATCTTTCTTCTACAGCAGGAACAAATTACTTGTAACCCTTAGCTCTGAAATTTTGTGTTTCTTTTCTGCCTGTGGAATATTTCACCATCCTGGCGTCCTGGCTTCCACACTTGCTTCTTGAAACATCAGTGAGGTGTTTTGGGATTTTCATGTTGTGAGGTAGTGATGACACATTTCGGGTGTGTTCTGTGCAGAAGGACTTGATTGAAGGAAAAGAGATGCACCAAGCTTGCCAGTGCTCTGCTGCTCAGGAAACACCCTCTTGACCTCTGGCCCCAGTGAGGATGGCCAGGATAGTCCTGGGAGAGATTCTACTTGGCAGTTTTCTCACAAGCTGACTGCAGGAGTGTTTTTTGTTTTGTTGTGTTTTGTTTTCTTGGCCATGGCTCAACAGTTTTCCAGGCACATCTTCAATAGGATGGTATTTTGGGGGAGTAGCCACCTAGAATTTTGGGGCGTAGCCACCTGGGTACTACTTAGTGATTTCGTGACAGTAGCAAGAATTTTCTCTTTTTCAATATTGGATTTAGTGGCTTCCTCTTGTACATGGCCTTTTTGGAACACAGCAGATTTGGAATATCTGCCAATTCCTTTCGTGAGAACACGGTTTCTGCTTGAGCTCTCCTTGGGCTTTTTTAGCCTTGAGGTTACTGTTTTTATACTGCCTGCTGGCATCAGCCTGCTTGGCTCCAGGTTTCTTCTCCTCAGTGTGCAGCTTCTCAGCCTTTTCACCTGCTGCCATCTTGCAAGATGAAAGAACAAGAACTTTTGACATTTCTGTTGTACAAAAATACTATTGACAGGTTTGTTTGTTTCTTTAATTTGTATTTTTTTTTTGGTAGCAGAACTGGGATTTGAACTCAGGGCTTCATGCTCTACCTTTTGAGCCATACCCCCAGCTCTTTTTTGCTTTAGTTCTTTTTCAGGTAAGGTCTTGAGTTTTTGCCCGGTGCTGCCTTTGGACCAAGATTTTCCTACCTGTGCTTCCCAGTAGCTGGGATTATAGATGTTTACCACTCCCCCAAGCTTATTTATTGTGATAGGGTCTTGCTAATTCTTTTTGCCTGGACTGGCCTCAAACCATGATGTCCTGATCACTGCCTTCCAAGTAGCTAGGATTGAAGTCATGAGACACCACATCTGGCCCTCTATTCTATTCATTTTTGAAGGATATTTTATTGGACACAGAATTTTGAGTTGATAGTTTCCACTCCCCTTGGGGAGGCATTTTAAAAATACTATTTCATTATATTTTTGGTTTGCATGACTTCAGGAATCTACAGTCATTTTAATCTTCATCAGTTATAAATAATGCTTCCCTTTTTCTGATTGCCTGTAAGGTGTTCTCTTTTAATAACTTTTCAGAGGTTTGATGGTAATTCCCCAGTGTGCTTTTGTGTTTACTCTGCTTGGCGTTTGCTGAACTTCTTGCATCTGTGAGTTTATAGTTTTTGTTGTACTTGGAAAATTTTCAGCTGTTATGCCTTCAAATTTTTGTGTGTGTCATCTGTCTTTTCCTGAGCTTCTAAGTAAATATGTGCATGTTTGCTGTACTGCTTGATAGACTACAAACCACTGAGGCACTGATCTTTTTTTTTTTCTTGTAATATTGTGGATTGAACCCAGTGCTTTGTTTTTGCTACACTAGTGCTCTACAACTTGACCTATACCCTCAGTTCTTTTATTTGTATCTTGTTTTTTGAGATAGGGTCTTACTAACTTTGCCTGGGCTGGTATTGAGCTCATGATCCCCCTGCCCATATCTCCCAAGTAGCTGGGAATTACAGCTGTGAACCACCATGCCTGGCTTGGTTAGTTCCTTTTGCTATGCCTTCATAACAAAAATGATTACCTTTTTTGTTTTTTTGGTGTTGGGGTTTGAACTAAGGGCTTCAGGGCTTCACGCTTGCCAGGTAGGCTTTCTACCACTTGAGCCTGCCTGCATCCCTGCTCTTACTTTTTTTTTTTTTTTCTGTAATAATCAGTGAAATTTTTATTTTACATATTTTCATTCGTTATCTCTTTATACCTTACATGGTGCACCCCCATGTTGGGTTAGATTTTGTAGTCTTTAAAGAATGTTGAGGTCTGTTCTGGTGGAGAGTTATTTGTGATTCTTTCAAGTCTTGCTTTTAAGCTCTGTTATAGTGGATCTAGGGATAATATGATGCTCCCCCTTAACCCCCCATTCCCTGCCTTCAAGACTTTCTAGGTCTCTGGAAGGCCCTGAAGGAGCAGGAAGGACACTGTGAGCCCTGTGAGAGTTCAGAGAACTGTGCAGCTCACAGCTTCCTCATCACTGTTTTTCACTCTCATGGAGTTTCTTTGTGCATGCACAAATTGTAGTATTCAGTAAAATCTTGAGGGAGACGCCATGCAGGTTTTCTGGAGCTCTCATTGTGCGTAGGCCTTTCTTCTCTGGAACGCTGTCCTACTACTTTCACCTACCTGAACTCTGATCTCTGACTCTGCAACCCAGGAAGACTGCCATGTTTTGCTGGGGATCCATCTCCCTCTCCCTGGTCTGAAATATGTCTCCTGGCAGAAAAACAGAGTGATTTTCAGACTCAGATCATTTGGACTGTTCTGTCAGGGATCACAGTCCTGCATGCTGTCCAATGTCTGCAAATGGTGGTCAGTTTTAATTATTTGCCTAGTCTTCGCATTGCTTACAGTGGGAGGGTAAATCTAGTCCCTATTATTCCATCATGGCCAGCAGTCCACTGGTTGATTTTGAGCAGAATGACATGATGTGATTTTTATTATTGCCTCCAATCCTAAACATGAGTAGTGGTATTATTCCTATAGATGAGGAAACTGTCACTCAGACCCAGATTCACTCAGTTATTAATGCCAAAACTCTTGTGCTTTCCACTGTCACTGCCTCTGAAAGAGTTTTGTGGATTGAATCTCCTCCTTCCTAGCAAAGAGCTATACAGACCAACTGGACATACACAGATAGTCACTTAGTGGATGAATACTGCTAGACTTGGGGGTTCTCCCATTGCTGAAGTTCATGAACTCCTGTGAGGTTGATCTTTGCTGTGCAGTGAGGTCAGCACCTGTGCAGGCCTCCCACTAGGGAAGGTCAGAGCCTCAGCAACAGGATGAAGGCACCTATGTCTCTGTGACACTAAAAGCACTTCTCTGTCACTATGGTCTTTTTTGTCCATTTATTTATCTTCCCCCTCCCCTCTCCTCCCCTTCTCTTCCATTCCCTTCCCTTTCTCTCTCTCTTTCTTTCCCCTTTCCCACATCCTCCTGATCCCTTTCCTTTCCCTTCCCCTCCCCTTTTCCTTCCCTTCCCTTCCCTTCCCTTTTTTCTTTCTTTTTTCTCTCTTCTCCTTTCCTTTCCCCTCCCCTCCTCACTTCCCTCCCCTCTCCTCTTCCCTCTCACAGTCCTCCTGATCTCTGCCTCCTGAGTAGCTAGGATTATAGGCAAGAGCCACCAGTGCCTGCTTTGTATTTTGTTTTTGAGATAGGTTCTTGCCAAATTTGTCCAGGCTGGCCTTGAAGTCATGATCCTCCTGCCTCCAGCTTCTGAGTAGTTGGGGTTACAGTGTGCACCACCACCCCAGCCCCGCTCTGCTCCTTCTTCCTTCCTTCCTCCCTCCCTCCCTTCCTGTCTCCCTCCTTCCCTCCCTCCCTCCTTCCCTCTCTTTAAAGCGGTATTAGGGTTTGAATTAAATTGATGGCCTTGTGCTTGCTAGGAAGGCACTGTACCATTTGAATCACTCCCCCAGACCTTTTTGCTTTAGTTATTTTTGAAGTAGGGTCTTAGTTGTTTTCCTAATCTGGCCTGGAATACAATTCACCTACCTATGCCTCCCTCATAGCTGGGATTACAGGTACACACTACCACATCCAGCTATTTTTGTTGAGATGGGTGTGTCACTAACTTTTCCCTTCAAGCTAACCTGGAACTGTGATCCTTCTGATCTCTACCTCCAAGTAGCTGGAATTAGAGGCCTGAGCCATGACACCTGGCCCCTCTGTGCTCATTTCTTGAAGGAGAGGAATACAGTGGTAAGTTAAGTGTGTAATAGGGAGATTTGACCTAGTCCTGGGTGATGGAGAAGGAATGCTTCCTCAAGGAAGTGCCTTAGCTGGCTCTGAAGGATGCTGAAGTGTCCAAGAGGGATCGGAGGGAACAACATGTGCAAAGGCTCCTTGACAGAGGAAGCAAAGACCAATGTGACTGTTGTGGACAGAGCTGGGGAGTGAGGTACACATGAGACCTGAGATGTAGTCAGATAAATTTGAGGCCTTGAAGGCCACACTGAAGAGATTTTTCTGTCTTCTGAGAGCAATAAGTCATCAAAGATGTAGTTACATGGGTGGATAGTGGATAAAGGAGGAGATGATCCACTTGTCCTTTGAAAATGATAGTCTGTTTGCATTATGGGAAGTGTTCTGGAAGAAAGCTAGCATAGATGTGGGTGAGCTGATTAGATAGACTGTTGCTGTGGTCCAGGCAAGAAAGCTTGGACCAGAGTAATGACCATAGAGACAAAGAGAAATCAAGGGGTTGATTCCAGGGATACTTAGGAGGGAGTATTGGAAGGACAATACTCACTCTAGGGAGTGAGAGAGGAGGAACTCTTGAAGAAGTCATTTGCTCAGTCAGGCAACCCTGGAAGAGGACACCTTTGGCAGGGGTGGGGTTGTGAGTCTGCTGTGGGATATGAATGTCTAAGAAGGCAGTGGGATGCAGAGCTTGGAGGATCTGTCTTAGGTATTTAAATGTGTGAGCTTATTGATGCTTGGAGTGTTGGACAAGGAAGGGAAAGCTTGCTCAGATTCCAGAACTGATGCACAATTTTGGTTATTTTCATGCTGGCTGACTTCTTGGGACAGGATTTTGGATGGAGGGATAGGATCCTTCATTCAGCAGAGTCCTTGCCACTGTGCCAGTTGTGTGGTGGCAGCTGGCTATGAGGAGGTCTTTGGGAACTCTGTACGAATGGGATTCTTTCCACTTCCACCTTCTGCCCTTTTTCCTAGGAGGCCTAGCACAGCCACTGGAACTAGCTGGGAAGTGGAAGTTGGAGGCTGCTGTCTCCTGGGACAGACACATTGTCTGTACTTGTCTAGATGTTATATACAGACAATTGACAATTGACTTGCACATCAGAAACAGTAAACTAATCATAACTCAATCAGACTGCTTGTTTTTCTTCTCCTCCTTTTTCTTCGTTTCTTCTAGTGCTAGGGATTGAACGTGGGGCTTTGTGTGTACAAGAACTACTACCACTTAGTTACATCCTCAGCCCTTGTTTTTTTTGTCAGAGTCTTGCTATATGAATAGACCAGGCTGGCCTCTTAACTTGATCCCCCTGCCTTAGCCTCCTGAGTGCTGGGATTACAGCTATGTACCAGCACACCTGGCCACTTGTTTTATTCTTGTAGAGATTTGCACATTGCTTCAGCACTGTCAGTCTCTACTTCTGTCTCTCCCATTCTCTAAATTTTGGCCATTTCAGTCAAGGATTGAAGGCACTTGTTAGAGTGGCATGGTTGTCCCTGGAAGAAACAGACTGGAACTATGCCACTTGTCCACAGTGCTGCCTGCCTGCCTTAAGGCTGGTCTATTTATCTATCATCCTGTCACTGCCTTATTTCCATAAAGACGTTAAGCCTGGTGCTTGCTGTTCTATTGTGGGGTGGTGTCTTTTGTGACAGGTGATACATAAGAACTCATAGTTTACTCACTTGACTCAAGAAGGTAACAAGAGAAAATCTTGAGCATGGGTAACTCACGCCCCCTTGTGGCTGATTTTGGTTCTCTACTTTTGCACAGGTGCTCTTCCTAGTCAACTCCGACTGTGGAGGCATGGCTTTCTCCTTAGCCTTTTTCTGGACTTTACTATTTCTGTGGATTTTGTGGTAGTCTCAATCTCCCCTGCTCAGCAGCTAATCTTGAGTCCTCCTGAGCAAAACCAACCCCTGTTCTTGAGTGTTTGTGACAGTGAACCCAGAAGCAATTTCGTGGCAAATTCAGACTCTTAGTCTACTTTTTTTTTTTGTAGGTAGCCTACCACAGAACACTAAAGTTTTGAAAAGTCGAAAGAGGTGTTTGTGTGTTGCTTGAGAATAGCATCTCTTTGGTTCTTTGATGTCCATTGGGTGGCACTGTGATCTTATTTTTGTTTCTGTTTTTCTTTGCAGCCAAGCTCTATTCCAGGAAGTGAAAATGTGCCCAGAGAGCCCCTGGTAAGTACCTAAGTTACATAGTATTGTTTTCAAATAATTTAAATGCCATGTGAGTTTAAAGAAGCATTAGGATTCTACAGTTTTATATCAGCAACATCTCCTCAAAAGTAGATGTGTGGAAACTTCCTGGGAGTGACCTTTGACTTCTGTTCTTAGCTTGCAGGGATTAGCAAGATCTTTCCTTAGTAAAGGAACTAAAAGAAGAAGGCCATGTGCCACTTTGCTTGTTGCTGATGGTAGTAATTAGGGATATTCTGAAGCCTTGGGGGGTGTAGTTGCAGGGAGGTTGCTGGACCCAACTAGGTTGCTTCTTGATTGTCTGAAGTAGCTGCTCTCTGCTCCTCAGGGTAAGAGCACCTCAGGTGACCTTTAAGAAACAGGTAAGGGAGGGAATTCTGGTTTTGTCTGATGAGTAATTTGGTTTGTGATAGGCATTACTGATAGTATCTTCTTAGACTGTTGAAAGGGAAGAGGCCTACTGAGTACAAAAGGTGTTTTCTTTACAAAGTGCATTGCTTTGGTGGTCCAAAACAGAATCTGCCTGCCTGCCTGCCCTGTTTTCATTCTGTTTGGCATTGCAGGGCCTATTGCAAATCTCATGGACAGGGTAGTAAGACTAGTTCTGTACAAACCAGATCAGTTTTAGGGGAGAGCCAGTGAGCGTGCAGTTTAACTTTCTAGAACCTTTTCTCTGTGAGTGTTGCTAGCGAGTGCAAGGGTGCACCACCCAGGCTTTATTTCACCTGTTTGCTCTTATTCTGGCAGAGCGGGAGGAGGTGACATGAGGTCTTTAGTTGCTGTGAACAGGTTTGAATTATAGTGTATTCTAATACTTCTATAGGCATAGGGTGAGATGGATCTGGTTGAGCTACAGATAGATTGAGAGGATACAAGTACCATGGAACTATTTCAGGGGAATAGTGTCATTCGTGTTACCTGTTTTCACCAATTATAGCCTATGTCCCAGCACTCCCTCAGGTCTCATTTTGCGCTTTTGCTATTGCTTTGGCTCTTCCTTGGAGTGACAGCTAGAGGAGGCTTTGCTTTGCCAGTGTCTGAGCTGGAAAGCTTGAACTTATCCCCTGGTGTCAGCCTCTGAGCCCTTCTGGCTGAAGTTATTTAAACTGAATCCAAAGTGAATACAAGAGTCCTCTTCAATCTTTTACTTGCTGTAGTCTCTTTTTGAATTTTGGTTTACTGATTTAACTAGAAGATCACTAGAAAAGTGACCAATTTCTCTTTTGGGGCACAACTAGATTAAACTCTTTAGGAGCTCTGACCATCACTGATTTCTGGGCATTGGGAGCCCTGTAGATCTTATGTTCTGGTAGGACGTTATGCATGGCTTTGTTTTCCTGCTGCATTGTGCATCTGCTTGTTGACTGGCTGTATTTTTATTTCTTTCTTTTCTGGGAGGCCCTGAGCAGTCTTCAAACCCTAGTAGCCTGTGAGTGTTCAGAGTTCAGACTCATTCTCTCCAGGCCAACTCTACAATTACCTTATATTTAATTAATATTTTTTCTCCTCTTTATACTTGCTGCATAATTGCTCAGAGGAAAGAAAACACATAGCAGCAATTTATATATATATATATATACACACACACATATATATATATATATATATATAAAACCCCAATAATTAAAAAAAAAAACCCGAAATAAACTCCCATCTCATTTGGACTGATCCTGTGAGTTGGGTAATTAGGGCCCTATTAAAAGGTAGACCCTTTCTCCTTCCCCCCCTTTTTATTAATTTTTTTATATTAAACTCCCACAGTCTCTCAGTCATGCCCTTATTGCTTTTGGCCAACCAATTGCAGCAGCCTGATTAAATGAGGTCACCAGCCGAGTTGTATGGTCTTGTGTGAACAACTTCTTTCTCCTGAGAGTGATAGCAGGAGTGTGTCAGGCAGAAGAGCCTGCTGAGGGCTAGTTCTTGGGGTAGTTCAGGGACACAGGTTGAGCAGGAGGAAAGCCTGTGGCTGCTGTGAACTGGCAGCTGACTGGATGACTGTCTTAGGGTGCTGGAGAAGTGATTGCTTACAGCCCTTGCCCACAGCTCAATGCATGAGGCTGTGGTTTGAAAGCACACAGTTTCAGCCCCTTTTGCAGGAAAGGAGGTTTCTCAGGCCTTGGGTGTTAGCTGTTTGCTGGGTGCTCAGTTCAGTTTTTGAGTATTGGGGAACAGATAATTGCAGAATCAAACTAAGTCTTGTTCTCAAGTAATTGACATATTTTATTTGGGGGAAGAAATGGCATTTGCACATGCAAAACAATTGACAAACAATGCAAGACTATATAATGTTAGCAAGCAGCACAAAATTGTGTATAATTTGGTGCAGAATTGCCTGGCTGGGAACCTGAGAGGGTCCCTTGTTATTCAAAGAAGGAAGAGGGTGGCAGGAGGGAACTTAGGGGTGATTTTTGTGATTCTTGAAACTTGAGGAATGGGGGAATACCCTGATAAGTTATATTTATTTTTAACCAGTTGCTTATTTTCCACAAAATTCTTTGATGCTTCCTAGTATCTATACTAAAAGGACTAAACATGAGATGTGAAGGCAGATAATCTCATTCCTTGTTCCAGAACCAGATGATCACTTTGAATTAATTTTTGTCCTTATTAAAAAAGTGAAGTGTGTATGTGCCAGTCCCTGTCCGTCCTGTCTTGTGATGTAGGGGTAAAGAGTATAATTGTATAGTTTTTAAATGACACATTTGTGTTTAGACTCATCACATCGATCATCTTGATTCTAGTCAAGTAGTGAGCCTGCATGTTGCCTTCTTCAGTCCCCCCTCAACTCTGCCCTGATTTAAAAAAAAAGCAACCCAGCCACCTGGACTGTATTAGTGTGGGATAGTTGATAATGTCCTGGTGTCCTTACCATTGGAAGTGTTGAACATACTGGTCTTGAGGAATTTGATAAACTTAGTTAAAATCCTGATTGTTAATGACAACTATTTGCTAAAGTTAAAACTATTAATTACCTTTTCCAATTTATACTCTCTTCACAAATTTTGCCTCCTGAGGGAATGAGTTTTGACAGCTCTCCAGGGGGCAGATCTCCAGCTTTTCCGAGACCTGTTGAAAATATTTTGTGACTTTCCAAAGAACTGGCATTCTGGTCCTGCCAGTGTGTGCCTATCCTGGGGTCATACAGAGTTTGCATCTGGCTTCCTGTTTTATCCTGGCAGGATCCAGTCCCTACCTGATGTGTATGTCTTTCAGAATAGAGGCACCTGGGTATGGTGGTTCACACCTGTAATCTCAGCATTCTGGAGGCTTCTGCAGCAGGAGTTTGGGTTTGATGTCAGCCTGGTCAACATAAGTGAGTTCAAGATCAGCCTGGGTTACAAAGTGAGACTATCTCAATGAAAAGAAAAGAGAAGAAAAAAGGATGGGATGTAAGCTGGTGATATAGCTCAGTGGCAGAGTGGTAGAATATGTAAATCCCTGGTTTCAATCCCTACTACCGCAAAATTAAATAAATAAATAAATATAAATAAATAAATAAATAAATAAATAAATAAATAAAAGTAGGTGGACAGTTGTCGGCATGGAGTAATTCAGTTCCAGTCTTGTTTGGGTACTGAAACTGGGGTTAAGTAACCTTTCGAGATTTCCTTTTAGTCATGTGGTTTTTGGTTGTTTGAAGTAAGCAATAAATAAGGTTTTTAAATTTGGCTTCTCAATATTCAGTAATACTGTTGCTCACCAACTTTACCCAGTACATATGGGTTTTGCTTCAACTAGAATTTCAGCTTTTTGCTGTTTAACACCATGTTCTCTCTAAAGGCTGAGTCTCCTGCCATCTTTTCTTCATTTAACGTGTAGGTATAGATTATTTTTTCCCCCCCTCTTTTTTTTTTTTTTTTTTTATTATTTTTGGACACAGAGTCTGGCTATGTAGCCCAGATTGGCCTTGAACTCTTTTCCTGACTCAGCCTCCCGACTGCTGGGATTACAGACCTACCCTGCCATACCCCACTGTTTTTTCATTCTATCATGGTCCCCTGCATCCATCCTCCAAAGTAATCCCAAAATACAATACAATATACTTTTTAAAATGATGACAATTTCTACTTTCTCACCTTTTCTAGATCAATATTTTTAGTATGCTGAGCTGGGCACCAGTGGCTCACATCTGTAATCATAGCTACTTGGGAGACTGAGATATGGAGAATTGCAGTTTGAGGCCAGCCTGGGCAAATAGTTTGTGAGACCCTGTCTCCAAAAATAACCAGAGCAAAATGAACTAGAGGTATGGCTCAAGTGGTAGAGTGCTTGTGAAAGCCTGAGTTCAAACCCCAGTTCCACAAAAAAAAGAACAAAAAATTATTATGCTGAGTCTTAGGTAAAGATGCTCTGCAGTCGCAGATTTGGCCTCTCAGTAGTTTTGCTTTTGTGGTGCAGAAGTACCACCCTGTTGCCACAGGTTGCTCCCTGAGGCTAGGATGGAACTTTGTTCAGGGGGTTCCACAGCATGTGTTTAAGCTCAGTTCTTCTGGAGAAACTCGCTTGCCTTACATCTGGGACACCTAAGATTCTTCTTGTTTTTTAAGCCAATTAACCAGAGACTGGTAATCTACAGGCCATTAATGTTTTGATGAATTCAGGGAGCCAGTACTATGAGTTTCTCTTTAAGAATAGTTATGGCTACTTGCCTGTCTCCCAAACATCTCTAAGTGTATTCTTGGCGTAGTCTCCCCAGTGTGTGTCTCTTGGAGTACTAGTTGGCAGGCTCACTGTGGATAGATGGTGCTCATTTTTCCCCACCAAAATATTTTTGAGTGATGACATTCACATGTTCAATACATTTCTTTGTGTATACTCAGGTATGTGTGTGTATAAGCATGTTTATAGCATAACACATATATGTATATTTATTTTATAAAATTCAAAGCATTTTGTGGGAAAGTAAAATTGATTTTGATACTATATTAATAAAATGTCTTTATAAGCACATGAATAATGAGTGTAGCCACACATTGGAACTT